CGCACGGCAGTGGACGCAGCAGCAGCAGCAGCAGCAGCAGCAGCCACAGCGGCCGCCATCGCAGCAGCCCCTACTCCCAGTTCCTGTCCCTCCCCCTAGTCTCCTCCCTGCGTCTCACCAGGTGGTTCCGTCCCCTCAGGTTGTCGCGTCCAGTCCAGTCGCTGCGTCTTGCTCCTGTCGGTCGCTTGCCCACCCCACCGTTCTGTGGCACCACCGGATGGGACACCCTTCTCTTCCACGTCTGCGTGCTATGTCTAGTCAGCGTCTGGTCTTAGGTCTCCCGCGTGTCTTGCCGTCGCTGCCGCCGTCTCTTGCACCACCGTGCGGTCCTTGCGTCGAGGGTCGGCTGCGCGCCACCCCTCACTCCTCCTCCCTTCGTCCGGCCACCGAGCCGTTTGAGACGCTTCACCTAGATGTCTGGGGCCCCGCCTCTCGCCTTGGCCCTGAGCGTGAGCGTTTCTTTCTGGTGGTTGTTGACGACTACTCCCGCTACACCACGGTGTTCCCCCTGGCGAAGAAGTCTGAGGTGACTTCTACGCTGATCAGGTGGTTGCTCACCACCGCGGACACTCGTGGTCGTCGTGTCAGCTGTCTTCACTCTGACCGCGGGGGTGAGTTTCGCTCCGGCATTCTCGCTGGATTCTGTCGCGAGCAGGGCATTCGTCAGTCCTGGACGCTTCCAGAGTCCCCGCAGCAGAATGGGGTTGCTGAGCGCCGCATAGGCTTGGTCATGGAGATCGCCCGCACCTCCCTGACTCACGCCCGTGCCCCCCATTTTCTGTGGCCTTACGCGGTTCGGTACGCCGCGCACCAGCTGAACCTCTGGCCACGCGTCTCTCGGCCAGAGGCTTCACCGACCAGTCTTTGGACCGGGTCCCCTGGTGTTGCGTCGAGGTTTCGTGTCTGGGGTTGCTTGGCTCTTGTCCGCGACACCTCTGCGGACAAGCTCTCGCCTCGCGCCGTCCCCTGTGTCTTCCTTGGTTTCCCTGAGGACTCCTCTGACTTCACCTTTTACCACCCTCCCTCTCACCGGTTCTTTGACTCCCGTGACGTCCGTTTCGAGGAGTCCACCCCGTACTTCGTCAGGCACCCCAGTCGAGGTCTCCCGGTTCCTCCTCCCCCCCTCTTCCTGACTGCCGCTCCCCCTCCTGCTCCCCCGGTACAGCCTCCCCCCCTGGTCCAGCCCCGTCAGGTGTGTCCCAGGCTACCCCTCCTCCTTCGGTAGCCCCTCCGGTACAGCCTCCCTCCCCACAGTCCTCCTCGCAGCGTGCCGCAGGTGCTAGCTCTCGAGAGGTTGGTGCCGAGCCTGTTCCAGTACCGGTTTCTAGTTCTGGGGGTGCTGGAGTTGGAGCTGAGCCGGTGGGTGCAGAGGACTCTTGTCTTCCGGGAGCTGGTGCTGGTCGCGCGGACACTGGGGGTGCTCTGTCTGGGGGTGAGGGTGCGCCTCCTTCAGGTTCTGGTGAGCCTGGGTCTGGAGCTGGTGTTAGTGCTGCCTCTGGGGGTGGTGTGCCTGGTCCTTCGGGGGTGGACTCTGGAGCTGCCGCTGCTCCGGACACTACTCCGCCCCCCCACCCCTACCCGACTAGGCACCAGGCTCGTGTTCGCCGTGCCCGTGAGGAGCAGCTGGCGTTGGAGAGAGAGGAGAGGGAGTTACAGCAGCTGGAGGAGCAGCAGCAGCAGCAGCAACAGCAGCAGCAGCAGCAGCAGCAGCAGCAGCAGCAGCAGCAGCAGCAGCAGCAGCAGCAGCAGCAGCAGCAGCAGCAGCAGCAGCAGCAGCAGCAGCAGCTGGAGCCGCAGGAGCAGCAGTCCCAGCAGCAGCCGCAGCCGCAGCAGCAGCAGCAGCACCAGCAGCAGCAGCAGCAGCCACTTCCTCCTCCTGTCTCAGGTCTTCGGACCCTTGGTCTCCCCTCTCCTTCTCCTCCCTCCCCCGCCTCTCCTCCTGTCTACGGTCCCACGTTTCCTCCTCCTGACTCCTCCCCCGCTGTTTTCCCCAGTTCTCCGCCTTTGTCCTCTCCTCCTCCGTCTCGTACTTGGGCTACTCGTCGCTCTCCTCGTGCTCGTCCCTCGTCCCCTGTTCCTTTCACTGACCTTCGTACTGTCTTGTTACGTTCTAGTCCGTCTCGTTCGGCTCCTCCTGTGCTTCCTTCTCCTCCTGAGTCGGCCCTCACAGCTTCTCTCTCTACCCCTGTCACTGACTACTACCGCACGTACCGTCCTGTTCTCTCTCGTGTTCTCGCCTCTCTTGTTACCCACCCTCGTGCCTCTTTGTCCTCCGTCTCCGCTCTTACTGCCGTGGTCACTGAGTTTGCCTCTACTCGCCGCCTTGACTACGCCACCACTCTTGTGGCTGCTCCTCCTACCAGTCCTCTGGCCGTCGGGGGTGTGTCTGCCCTTGGCTGTGACGTCCTAGAGGACAGGCAGTTTGAGCTAGAGTTCCTGGCAGCCGCTTCCCCTCATCTCTGTGCCATGCTCCTCACCCCTGAGGGTGACCCTGACGCCCTTGACATTCCGACTCCTCGCACTTACGCTGAGGCAGTGTCAGGGCCTTGGGCCTCTCAGTGGAGAGCTGCCATGGACGCAGAGATGGCCTCCTACAGATCCACAGGCACCTACGTCGATGAGGTTCCTCCCCCTGGGACGAACGTAGTCGATGGCATGTGGATCTACAGGGTGAAGCGGCCACCAGGATCTCCTCCAGTCTTCAAGGCGCGCTACGTTGCTAGAGGTTTCAGTCAGCGCGAGGGAGTTGACTTCTTTCAGACCTTCGCGCCCACCCCGAAGATGACCACTCTTCGGGTGTTACTGCACGTAGCAGCACAGAGAGACTACGAGTTACACTCTCTCGACTTCTCCACTGCTTTTCTTCAGGGCAGCCTACACGAGGAGGTCTGGCTGCGTCGTCCCTCTGCCTTCACTGGCACTTTCCCTCCTGGGACCCAGTGGAGGCTGAGGCGACCTGTCTACGGTCTTCGCCAGGCACCTCGTGAGTGGCACGACACTCTTCGCTCTACCCTCTCTGACCTTGGGTTCCAGCCGTCTTCTGCCGACCCGTCGCTGTTCATTCGCCGTGGCTCCACACCGTTCTTCGTTCTGGTTTACGTCGACGACCTAGTTTTCGCCACTGCTGACAGGGTTGCTTTGGCAGACGTGAAGTCCGAACTGCAGAAGAGACACACGTGCACTGATCTTGGTGAGCTGCGCCATTACCTTGGGCTGCAGATCACCAGGGACAGAGCTGCTCGCACCATTACACTCTCACAGTCACACATGGTGCAGCAGGTCCTTCAGCGGTTCGAGCTTCAGCACTCCACAGTACAGCGCACACCTCTTGCTGTTGACCACAGACTCACTGGCCCCTTTCCTGACGAGCCGTTTGAGCCTAGTGGTCCCTACGCAGAGCTTGTGGGTTGCCTCATGTACCTGATGACTTGTACTCGCCCGGACCTCGCTTTCCCTCTCAGCATCCTTGCACGCTTTGTTGCGCCAGGGAGACACCGTCCTGTTCACTGGACAGCAGCTGTGAGGGTGGCGAAGTACCTAGCGACGACATCAGGCGTGGGGCTAGTTCTTGGAGGGCAGCAGTCTGTTGTACTTACTGGTCACTGTGACTCTTCTTACGCTGACGATGCTGAGACTCACAGGTCTACTCAGGGGTACTGTTTCAGTCTGGGTTCTGGAGCTGTTTCCTGGCGGTCCACGCGCTCCTCTTCGGTCTCGACCTCTACAGCTGAGGCTGAGATCTACGCTGGTGCCATGGCGGCACAGGAGCTGCGTTGGTTGACGTTCTTGCTCGCCGACCTGGGTGAGCGGCCGAGCTCTGCACCGACCTTGTTCACTGACAACAAGGCATCCATTCTCCTTTGTCGAGAGCCACGACTGGAGAGCAGAGTGAAGCACATTAACGTCAGGTACTTTCTTCTGCGAGAGTTGCAGAGGCGTGGACAGGCTCGCTTCGAGTTTGTGGAGTCTGAGGCCAACACTGCAGACATCTTCACCAAGGCGCTTCCGCCTTGTGACCACCACAGGTGTTGTGTGCAGTTAGGCCTTGTTGACACTGGTTTTCGGCTTACTTAGTCTTGAGTTCACTGCTTGCTTTGCTTGTACCCTTTCTATATATCTCTGTTATTGTTTGGACTGGCCTTGTGGCCATTGTTGCTTGTGCTCAGAGTTTGTGGTGACGTTGTGATCCACCCTGAGCTTTGTTTCTTTGTGACTGGTCTTGTGACCGTACTCTTTTGGTTTTGCTAGACACCCCTCACTTAGGCTATGGGGGTGTGTCAAATGTTGGTAGCCTGTAGTGAGATGTGTCTTTGGGGGTACGTATGTTAGGGTTTGCTACTTGTACCCCAACCACCATCAATGAAACAACACTTCCGATCTTGAGATAGAATGTTGGATTAGGTCAAGGTGGGGGTACAAGAAGAATGTCGAGAGAAATTGTGTACCCCCTAGTGTTAACCCCCATATAGCCTAGATAACCTAACTTGACAACCCACTCGAGGCTATAACATTTGACACAGTCTGCCCGCTGGATGCACCCAACCTTGAAATCTGGACCAGCGCTGCTCCACCCACTCACCTTCGATTAATAAGATGACTCTATTGGGGTTTGGGCTATTGCACATCATTGTAAACATATACGGTAATGAAACTATACAGCACATTGGTAGCCCAGTGTATGAAGCATGGTGTTACAAGAAGCATAACGCCGCACGACAAAGGCAGCTGATCAGTCTTGGCATGTCAGGCCTACCCCTGTAAAGGTAGAGGACCACACACTCAAGCCCAGGCAGAAAACTAGACCTCGTCCCATCATAGTCACCGTGACACCGTACTGTCACCATGCTTGCAGTGTATAGCAGTTGTCACGCATCAGCTAACAATCTGATCACATTATTCCATACCCTACCCAGCGAGGCGAGACTCCCTGGCTCCCCCTCACAATTACTCCAAAATTCCACCGCAACACTCCCCCTTGCACTGCCTTCCCCTGTTAGCACCTACGAAGAGGCAAGGAGGGAAGCATGCGTGGTGGCAGACACAGCAGGGCCAGGCGCTGGAGCAGGGGGGGCAGCCGTGTTGCTCCACAGCACCCACTTGGCCACCCAGGGGCGCTTGTCAGATTGCAGCGACCATGCCGCACTGCTGTCACTGCTCTGCTGCTCCACTGCAGCCTTGCCTGCGCTCTGCTCCCACAGCGCCATGAAGCTGCCGTAGAGAGGCTTGGCCTTGCCTGCCAGAGCAGCGTCTGCAGGAAAGGAAGCAAAGAGGGGACAAGAGGAGAGGGTGGTTTGGCAGGGGCATGACATGGGTATGGAGCCAGACATGGTCAGGTGAAGTGAACCAGGCAGTGGCTTGTTGGCACCCACAACAGCACAGGGCAGGGCAGGGCAGGGCAGGGCAGGGCAGGGCAGGGCAGGGCAGGGCAGGGCAGGGCAGGGCAGGGCAGGGCAGGGCAGGGCAGGGCAGGGCAGGGCAGGGCAGGGCAGGGCAGGGCAGGGCAGGGCAGGGCAGGGCAGGGCAGGGCAGGGCAGGGCAGGGCAGGGCAGGGCAGGGCAGGGCAGGGCAGGGCAGGGCAGGGCAGGGCAGGGCAGGGCAGAGCAGGGCAGGGCAGGGCAGGGCAGAGCAGGGCAGGGCAGAGCAGGGCAGGGCAGGGCAGGGCAGACGAGGTGAAGGCATGCGAGAGGGCAGGCAGCGCATGCATACCTGTCGGTGTGCATGAGAAGTTGCCGGTGATGAGTGCGAGTGTCTGATGGTGGTGGCTGGCCAGTGGTGAGTGGGCAATGGAGAGAGAGAGCGAGGAGTCGAGGGGACGCAGCAGAGCCACCGAGTTGAGAGAGGCCGTGGGTGTGCACCCCAGGGACGCCAGCGGCTGCATGGGGGGGGGGGGGGATGCGCCAGGGCGTGGGAAAAAGGTGTTGTGAGTCGCATGGATACGAAACATACCACACATAGTGGACCCTAGTACACGTGCAGAAACAGCATTCTCAATGCCGCCACCTTCACCCCCTACACCCACGCATTTCCACGAACAAGACTCACCCCCATACATTTCCTCTCCTCCCGCCGTTCCCCTTTCCCCTTTTCCCAGTGCAAGCAGGCCTACAGCACAGCATACCTGCAGGGCGGCGCGGGCATGGTCAAGGGAGGCGGCATCGATCCACAGCAGCGGGCGGTGGGGCGGCATGACAGCAGCGCCAGCGGGGGAGAGCAAGCGCAGCACCTCCGCCACGCTGCCGTTGCCCACTGCCGCCGCCGCTGCTGCCACCGCCGCCTGCAGCTGCTTCACCTCGCCTCCCCCGGTCACAGCTCCAGCCTTTGACTCTACCCTCGCCCCCACCTCGGGTGTTGCCTCGCCTGCAGCAGCGCCCCCCACAGCCATGCTGTTGGCAGCAGCATCAGCAGACGCGACGTCAGAATTCCAGGCGAAGCTGGTGAGCGCCCATACCACCCCGCCACCACTGCTGCTTCTGCCCTGCACCTGCTGCTGCGGCGGCAGCTGCTCCCACACCTGGATGCCCTTGCCAGCATCCAGCAGCTGTGAACCGTCCTCCGACAGAATGACGTAGCTCACTCGCACCACCACCGCCAAGTGACCCTTGGGATCGCCCACCACCCGTGCAGCATCGCCATCACCATCACCATCAACATCCACCGCTGCATCTTCCACCCACCCGTCCCCTCCCTTCGCTCCCTCGGCTCCCCACTCCTCGCCCTCCTCCGCTGCACCCCAGAGCACGCGCGCCCCCCGTTTCTTGCCCGGAACCATCTCCGCGACCTGCACGTCCACGGGGTTCAGCTGCACCGTCGTACCCGCCCACGCCTCTAGCGCGCTCACGTGCTCACCACCGCACACTGCGGGCAGCAGCGGCGAGTTCGGCGGGAGCAGCGTCAGGCACGGCGCGAGCAGCGCGAGCAGCGGCGCCGCGTCGTCCTGCGCGCTCGCGATGGCGGCGGAGAGCCGCGGGAGGAGCGACGCGACGTCCAGGCGCACGTCCTCTGGGTGCGGCGCGGCGAGGGGGAGAGGCGCGACGGCGACGGCAGCAGCAGCAACGGGATCAGCGGCAGCAGCGGCAAGGGTTTGGAGCGAGGGCGGGGGGGTTGGCTTGGCGGGGGTGCAGGTCCACATGGCCCAGGCGATGCCGTACACCCAGCGCCCCTTGCTCTCCACGCCCGCACTCCCGTTGATCACCTTTCGCTGCTCGCGCTTCCACAGCAGGAACAGCGACCCCGACGCCGTCTCTGAGCCTGCGCGCGGGGCGACGGGGGCGCAGTAACGCGGGTGGGAAGGGGGGGGAGGACGGGCATCTTAGGCATCGATGCCACACTGGAGGATTGAGAAGGTTGCCGCGCTGTGACACATCCACGCATCCAAACACCCTCTTCTCCCCACCCCGATCACAAATCTCCCAAGCCCGCCACATCCCCTTCCCCCCCCCCTCCCTCCCCCACCGGGGCCCTCCTCCCCGCGCGCGTACCATTGGCGGAAGCGGTGTAGTCGCCCCAGGAGAGCGCGTAGAGCAGGTCCTCGTTGGGGTGCGCGGGCGCGGGCTTGGGGAAGGCGAAGTCCGCCAGGCGCACGCCGCTGATGGGCAGCGACAGCAGCGTGCCCGCCGCCACCAGGGACTGGCGCGCACAGCGCGGGAGGGGTGGGGGAGACAGGGAGATGGAAAAGTGATGGTGAGCGACGAGCGTGGTCTGAGAAAACTCAAGTTTGCTCGGAATGCCAGAGAAACTTCGCTGCAACTCGCTCCCTCCATCATTCGTCCCCTCCTCTCCTCACAAGCGGGAAAGGGGTGCACTTCTCCACCTCAACCCAACCTCACCGCCACCTTCCCGACCGCTTCCCCCCCAACTTCCTTCCTTCCGCCATTACCTGCAGCAGCGCGCGCTTCTCCTCCGCGGTCACCGCCAGCGTCTCCCGCGCGCCCGGGGGCAGCGCGAGCACGGGCCCCTCCACCAGCACGTCCTCCGCCGTCTCCGCGTCCCCCGCCGCGAGCGCGTCCGCCAGCACCGTCAGGCGCGCCTGCAGCTGCTCGCGCACGGGGCCGGGCTTTGGGTCGCGCACGGCTGGCGGAACCACGGCGGACATTGCGGACGAGGCGGAGTTTTCCCCGTTGGCGGAGGGGGCGGGGTCAGAGTTCCAGACGAGCCAGGAGAGTTTCCAGTTGATGGGGTCCGATTGCACGCTCGCTGCTGCGCCTTCTATCGAATCCGCTTCAAACGGGAGTTTGCCCACCCCGACCCACACCGCGACGACCTTGCCCGCGTCGGCAACGGCGCCGTTGGCCTTGTTGGCCGTGTACTCGAACCGCGTCAGCAGCAGCTGCACGTCGTTGTTGCGCGCGCCTGAATCGACGCCGCTCGCCGCCGCCATTTCGCTGAAGGACGAATCCTCGCTCGACCCCACAACGAGCTCCGTCAGCGTCGTCTCTATATCGAGTCGCTTGTTCGCGAGGTGCTGCGCGAACGCGCGCTTCGCCTCGTCCGACTCGAGAACCTTCCCCGGGCTGCCCGGCGCGAGCACGACGGCGGACGGCGCGAAGACGGTGGCGGCGGCGGCGGAGTCGTTGATGGCGAGCGCGGAGAGGAAGTCGCGCACCTTGCGCAGCACGAACGGCCGCACCTCCTCCGCGGACGGGTCGCGCAGGGGCGACACTTCCGCCGCCAATGATGCGGCGCCCAAGAAAGCGCGTTTCGCCAGTCGCTCTTCGCGCGCGTCGCGGTCCTCCGGCGCGGGGGAGTGCAGCGAGGGCGGAGCGGGCGGGGCGGGCGGCTTGCCGGGAGTGGCGGAGTACATGATCCACTGCACGGCGAAGCGCAGCGGGGGGTCGCGCAGGGACGCGGAGAGAGACAGCTCGGGGACCGGCACCCAGAGCAGCATGACCGTGCCGTGCGCAATGACGTCGCCTGCGCGCAAGGGGAGGCGGATGGGGGGAAGGTGAGGGGATGTGGAGGATCATGGTGAAACGAGATGGTCGTAAGTCATGGGGATGCGCGAAGATATGGATGGCAGCTACAGGGAGAGAGGGAGAGCGGGAAGGGAGGGAAGGGGTGGTTGTGCGGGAGGTGAGGGGGGGGGGATGGAGTGGAGGAGGCGGGAGGGAGGAACGAGAGGGAGAGAAGCAAGAACGTGGGCGGGAGGAGAGGGGGGACGAGGAAAAGCCTTCTGGCGGCACTGACCGTTGGATACGTTCGAGAGGAGGAACGTGCCGCGCGACAGGGCGACGCGGCCCGCATCGCTGCGGAGCGCGTCCGGCTCGGCGACGGTGAATGTGGGGTTGAGGAGGCGGAAGGGAATAGCGTCGTCCACCGTGAGGTTCAACGTCAACCCCTCGTACACCAAGCCCTGCGCGCCGATGGGGGACGGGGGAGGGAGGGGATGGGAAGGAGGGGGAGCAGGGGAAGTGGGGGAGGAATGGAATGGGAGGGAGGAGCGGGGTGAGTACGGGGTTGAGAAGAGACAGCTGTTGCGCGGCGGTAGAAGGAGAGGAATTGGGCGAGAGCACGCAACCCTGCATTCGCCGCGACAGCTGCTGCCATTTACCCGCACCGCGCACCTGGAAGAGCTGCTTCATCGCCTCGAGCCGCGTGATCGTGCGCGGCGGCTCGTGCGGCGGCAGCAGGGTGATTTCCCGGCTGAGCGCGCCCTGAATCAGCGCGCAGTCGCCGTTCGCCACGGCTTCCGACAAGTCCTCCGCCTGCTGCTGCAACTGCCGCACCACCGCCGACCTGCCCCCTCCCGTCACCACCTCCGCCGTCCCCGCGAGCGACACGGTCTCCGCGGAGCTTCGCGCGCAATTGAGCGGGACTTGCGCGGAGGCGGAGTCCGAAGCGCCGGAAAGGAAGCGCGAGAGTGTCGCGTGGAGGTCGTTCTTAGCGATGTCGTCGTTCCACATGGCCCACGTGAGCTTCCACTTGCCGCCCTTCTTCTTCTTGCCCTCCACGCCCGCACCATCCGCGGCCGTGTTTACGTCCTTGCTGCCGGCGGTCCACACGACGATGGCCTTGCCGACAGTGAGCACCTTGCCCTTGGGGCTGATCACCACGTACACCAGGCTCGTCGCCGCGTTGCTCGCGTCGCTGTTCTCCGCGGGATTCACGACGCTCTTCGCCAGCAGCATGTCGGAGATCGTCAGCGCGATGCGCGCGCCCGCCGCCTTGAGCGAGGCGAGAAACGCCGCCTGGCTGTCCGGATCCGACAGATTCGTCGCCGGCTGGCCCGGCGGCAGCAGCCACACCTCGGGCGCGAAGATCGCGGCGGCGTCCGCGGTCCTGTTGGCCTGCAGCGCCGTGGCGAATGTCTGCAGCGTCGCCTGCAGCTCCGCGCGCACCATGTCCGGCGGAACGTCGCTCGAAAGCGACGCACCGTTGACGGGCTTCTCGGCGATGGGACTCGCTGTGTCTACATGGTGGGACGGGAATAGCGCACGAGTAGCGGCGACGGGGATGGGGCATAACTGAAGGACTAGGAGCAATGCATAGGGAACGAGCAGCAGGCGCAAGCCTGCCGCCTGAGGCGCCATTGCTTGTCAGAAAGAGAGGCTACGGATTTGGTTTGACGAAATTGAAGTGGCAGATTACGAATGCAATGCAAAAGCTTAGGGGCGCAAATCTACTAGAACTGGAAGATTGTACTGTTGGAACAATGTACGCTTGCTAGGGTAGACCTAGCGGTGGATGGAAATGAGAAGCACAGTGGTGTCAGGGGTGGGCAACGGGTGTTTGTGTTGTGGGGCGGCACGGGGGTGGGTTGGGTGGGTTGGGTGGGTTGTGAGGAGGAGCGAAGGGTGGTGGAGGACGAGGGGAAGAGGGAAGCGAAGAGAACGGAACGGAGGGATGGATAAGCTGGCGAAGAGAGAGGGGAGAGAGGCAGAGCAAAAACAGGCGGGAAAGCGGTCGCACGAGCAGGAATTGGAATGATGTGCGACGAGATGCGAACTGGCCGCAGTTGCGGACGTGCGACGACATGAGCGGATTGCACGTCGGAGAAGAATTGCGGTGCGAAAGAGGTACGATGAATCGCAAGGGGGCTGTATAGCCGTTGCGAAAGAGCTGCAAGCCTGCGACGGCTGAGTTCCTCGCATGAAACGGAGCAACAATCAAGCAGCCAGAATGCTGTTCAGAAGATCCCCCAGGCTTGTCAAAGATTCAACGCATGTGGTCGGACCAACCTGGATGCCATGTTCTACATCTACTGTAAGGATTTACAAATCCTTACTGAGGCGCTCGATAGCGAGGCCATCCCGAGGGCCACGCGACCAACTGGTTCGGCCTACAATTTCGCATCCCAACCTCACCGAGCCGCCTCCGCACCAATCGCGACACTTCGCGAGCCAACTCTACCACACCATCCCCGCCTAGCTAGGTTTTCCCCTATTTAGGCCTCGCTACTTCATTGTTCAGGCATTCGGTAGTTCAACATTCTCGTTATTCGATATCTGCGCACTCTGACAAGTTCATTCATAACACCTGGTATCAGAGCTACTTTCCTAGCCTACCCCGTTTTTTAGAGTGTATTACCCCTCGGGGGGGGGGACGAGTAAGGATGCCTTGGGGTCCAGGAGTTGCGTAGGCCGGCCAAGAGAACTCGTTAGTTGCTCTTCGCGGCCATGGTTTTACGGGGCACTCCTTCGGCACCGCCAGATCCTTAGCTCGAACGGTCGCGATCGACCGTGGCCTCCCTCCCCCCGGGCAACGGACAGCTGGAGCTGTCGCGACTCTGAACGTGAGTTACTATTTCCGCTGCGGTTTTAACGACGATTTCGAAACTGTGAGGCAGCTGGCGTCAGCGGATCTGCGTCGGCACCTGCACGAAGATTTCGGAAGTCGTCACGATGTGTGGCAGTTGACGCCGTCGGACCCGAGTCAACAACTGCTGCGACAACTTCGGAGTCCGTCCCATGCGGCAAGTGACAACGGTGGCTCGTCGTCATCATGCGCGCGCGACTCACGGAGTGTGGCTCGGCAGCTGGCGACAAGGAACGTGCGTCACTGTGGCGAAAATTTCGGAGCTTCTGTTGAAGAAAACGTCGGCTGGGGAACTCGCCAGGCGCAAAAGGAGTTTGCGTCCGAAAATGTCGGTGGCGAGGAGAGACGACACAAGACTGCCCGACTTCGCGGGAGTTAACTGCCGTCCCGCCCGACCTGTTAAGTGCGGCAGCTTTTACTGCATTGGCGGGCGCGTCATCAACAAATTCGGCAGGAGTGCTCGTGGACAGACGGGACTTCATACCTGCTGACGCTTACGGGCTGCAACGGAAAACGCGATGGCTAAACCGCACTTACGAGGAGTGGGACGCAGGCGACGAGGGAAATCGGGGCAGGTACACCTCGAAAGAACTCGTGCGACGCTGCGTGCCTGGTGTTGTTGCAAGCTGGCCGGCAGTATCGAGAACAGTTTCCCCTGACCAAGGATGTTGTTTTCGGGGACAGCTGCTGACAACCCACGGTTAAACGGTGTCCAAGGTACCGCCCGATAATTTCGGAGGGGTCGGTACAGGCTGCCGGGACACGCGAGAAGAAACGGCCCAACGGCTAAGCGGGGGTTGAAGAACGTTGCGGGGGCAGATTAAAAGCCGGTGGAATCGCTCTGCGGCCCTACTTCGCCCGAACCTCACCATCCCCACCAAGTCCTGGTTCTGACTCATGCAGTCAACCTACTTGGCCGAATAACGGGGGTGAACATGTTAAGAGAACTAGGCAAGAATGATTGGATTGAAAGAAGCAAGGGTACAAATAGGAAACCCTAGTTGGGGTTGTACCCCATATCAGCTACCCCACTACAGCCTACCAACATATAACACATTACAATTTAACACACCCCCATAGGCAAAGTGGGGGAGAACAAAGGGTCACAAGACCAGTCCAGCAAAGCAACGCAAGCCCAGGGTGGATCACAAAGTCACCACACTCCGAGCACAAGCAAAGGCCACAAGGCCAGTTCACATGCAGTGCTAGATATAGTACAAAACAAGCAACAAGATATATATAAAGTACAGTACAAAGAATGTCAAGCAGTGAGCAAGTGAGGAAACGTGGACACAAGGCCTAAAGAAGTACAGTGCCGCTGATGATCACTAGGCGGGAGCGCCTTGGTGAAGATATCAGCAGTGTTGGCCTTCGAGTCCACGTACACAAGCCGAAGCTGACCTCGCTGCTGCAGCTCTCGAGCAAGAAAGTAGCGAAGAGCAATGTGCTTCGTCCTGTGCTCCAGTCTGTGCTCCTGACACAAGGCAAGGGCCGCCTTGTTGTCGCCGTACAGAACTGGAGGAGAACTAGGCCGCTCTCCCAAGTCAGTCAGCAGGTAGGTGAGCCAGCGTAACTCCTGTGCAGCCATGGCCGTGGCGTAGATCTCAGCCTCACAACTAGAGCTGAGAACAGAAGAAGAACGGGTGGACCGCCACGAGACAGAACCAGAGCCAAGGCTGAAGGTGTAACCCTGCGACGACCGCTGCGTAGCCAAGTCGTCCACCCAAGAAGCGTCCGAGTGACCAGTGAGAACAACTCTGTCGTGTCCTCCAAGCACCAGCCCCATGCCCGATGTACTGCACAAGTAACGCAGCACCCTCTTAGCAGCCTCCCAGTGCTCTCTCCTGTGTCTCCCAGGTGCAACGTAACGAGCAAGGATGCTAAGAGGGTACGCGAGGTCAGGTCGTGTGCAAGTCATCAGGTACATGAGGCAGCCTACAAGCTCTGGGTACGGGCCACTCGGCTCTACGGACTCGTCCGAAGGTGGAGCTGAGAGCGAGTGGCTGGTAGCCAGAGGTGTGGCCTGTGGTGAGGAGAACTGGAAGCCGAAGCGCTGAAGGACCTGCTGCACCATGTGTGACTGAGTCAGGGTGATGGTGCGGCGAGCTCTGTCCCGGGTGATCTGCAAGCCAAGGTAGCTACGCAGTTCACCCAGGTCAGTGCAGGTGTGTCTCTTCTGCAGCTCCGACTTCACACGAGCGAGTGCCTCAGTGTCAGCAGTAGCAAAGACCAAGTCGTCGACGTACACGAGAATGTAGAACGGCGGCAGCGACGTGTCTGTGCGCAGAAACAGCGACGGGTCAGCAGTAGACGGCGCGAACCCAAGAGCCGCAAGTGTAGTCCTCAGTGTGTCGTGCCACTCACGTGGCGCCTGGCGGAGACCGTAGACTGGCCGGCGGAGGCTCCACTGGGTACCAGGAGGAAACGACCCAGTAAAGCCAGGTGGGCGGCGCAGCCAGATCTCCTCGTGCAGGCTGCCCTGCAGGAACGCTGTGCTGAAGTCAAGAGAGTGAAGCTCGTAGTCACGCTGAGCAGCAACGTGCAGCAGAACCCAAAGAGTGGTCATCTTCGGGGTGGGGGAGAAGGTCTGGAAGAAGTCAACCCCCTGACGCTGACTGAAGCCTCTAGCAACGTAACGAGCCTTGAAGACAGGCGGAGAACCTGGCGGCCGCTTCACCCTGAAAATCCACATGCCATCGACGATGTTCGCCCCAGGAGGGGGAACGTCGTCGACGTAGGTGCCTGTGGACTTCCAGGATGCCATCTCTGCGTCCATGGCTTTCTGCCACTGAGAGGAGTAGGGACCCGAGATCGCCTCTGCGTAAGTGCGCAGAGTGGGGATGTCTAGTGCATCCGGGTCTCCCTCAGGGGCAAGCAACCAGGCCACGAGATGAGGTACAGCAGCCGTGAGAGAGTCAAAGTCCTCCTGCCTGTCCTCAAGGACGTCCGTGCCAAGAGCACACTCACCCCCGACGGACGGAGGACAGACCGACTCAGACTCAGACGCAACAACCAGGCTAGCAGCGTAGTCTAGACGACAGGCAGAAGCAAAGTCAACCAACTCAGCGACCAGAGCAGACGCAGCCGAGGACTCAAAGGTAGGGTCAGTGACAACAGTAGCTAGGAGACGCGTGACAGTAGGGTGCTCAGCACGATACCGGTCAGACTCAGGGGCCGGAACGTCAGGCAAAGAGGACGCAGGAGGAGACGGTAGAGGGACACGCTGAGGAGCAGTAGAGGGACGCAGAGTCATGTAGTGAGTGCCGGGGACAGGAGGAGGACGCTCACGACGGACACGACGACTAGTGCGAGCAGTACGGACAGGCGACGCAGGACGAGACTCAGGCTCACGACGCTCTGTAAGACCTCCTGTGGGACCAGTGTAAGGAGAGGGAGCAGGGAGAGGCGAGGCAGGCGGTAACTGTGACTGCGGCTGGACAGTCGGAGGACACTCTACGGAGGGAGGAGGACAAGGAGGAGGAGCCTGCCCAAGAACCTGCTGAAGGAGCGGTACGAAGTACGGCCGCGGCCGCGCAGCGTCTCCAGAAGCAGAAGAGACTCCAGCGTCCGGGTCCCCAGCACCAGCAGCAGCGCCACCGCTCGGGTCCTCAGCTCCAGCAGCAGCTCCACCAGGTGGGTCCGCAGCACCAGCAGCAGCACCACCCCCAGGGTCCGCAGCTACAACTCCGCTAGCGCCGCCAGCTCCAGAGTCCCCAGCTCCAGCAGCTCCAGTCGTAGTGCTCCCAGAACAACCAGTCCCGGCAGCTCCAGTACC